TCTTCAGACACACACAAGTACTCATCAGGTAACTTCAACTGATCCTTATATTCATCATTAACTTCTTTAGCTCTCATAACTCTGTGAGACACTCCATTGTCCTCCATTGATTGGATGTAGTCGGCTACTGAAGATCCTTTAAGACTTCCCTTGGAATCCTTTGAACCAAACACATAAAAACCGGTTTTACTAAAAAAAGTATTACAGATAACAAAGCACAAATTAACAATGTGGATTCTACTAGGATTAAAATTAGTATCAATATCAGTGTTAACTTACTGATACAACTGCTTTCCTGATTTTTTCTCAATGTCTGACCACAGTTTAAAAGCTTCATCCATCATTTTTACATAATAGCCCTGATGATAAGCCTTCCTTGTGATACGAGATCCACCAGATGAACTACCTCTTGTATGTCCTCTATCAAACTAAAAAATTAAATAAAAATTCCATTTATACCTTTTTCTCCCTTTCTTCCCCCCCCCTCTCTCTCTCTACACTTCTCTAAGCCTGCTTCTGGCCCACCTGTTCAAGCAGGAGAATATTTCTCTTTCCCTTTGCAGTGAGTGTATAAGCTGTAGCACTTCCTTCAACTCCAGCCCCAACTACTATCACATCATAAAGTTTGTGCTGAGGAGGAGGAGCAAGAGGAGGAGAACTTGTACTAGTTTGAACTTTTTTATTGGCAGGAGGAGCAACAATAGATGGAATACTCTAGATAATAAAAGCTAAAATTAAAAAAAATTTAATATACATGTAAAAGGAATGGGTATATAATTTTATGTATAAAATTACCTGTCACAAGCACAAAGTTTGAGCTAATTTCAATAAAAATTAATTTTTTACCAATATTTTTAAAGTTCTTCAAGAATAAGGCCAAAGTCCATCTACAGGAACTTTAAAAATTGAAGTCGGAATCAGCTCAAACTTGCTACATAGCATAAGGACATCAATATGCATCATAAAATCTAATAAAAATTTGGGGTGATTTTGGAGCCATTTTTGAAAAAAACCATGGGCTATAGCCTTGGGTAATTTTCAGAATTTTGGCATTTTCTTAAAATGGCCATAACTTGAAAAATTCAAGTCGGATTCACCTCAAACTTGCTACGCAGCATAAGGACATCAATATGTATCAGAGAATCTAATAAAAATTTGGGGTCATTTTTTAGCCATTTTTTGGGAAAAAGCCATGGGCTATAGCCTTGGGTGTTTTTCAGATTTTTGGCATTT